AAAAAAAAAAGATTCTCAAGCAGAATGGAAACAAGACAATCAACTTAGAATTAGAAAGAATGTTCATCGTCAACATTTATTTATTTATTTTCTAGTCTTCATCAATAAACAGCAGGCAACATAACAAACCAAATTCAATCAAAGAACCACTAAAAGCAAGCACCCCCACGCAGCCTAAGCACGAGGTGAAGAGTCGATTCCTTCTGAATATTATAATCCGCAAGGGTCCTCCCATCCTCCAGCTGTTTCCCTGCAAAGATCAACCGCTGCTGGTCGGGTGGGATTCCTTCCTTGTCCTGAATCTTGGCCTTGACATTATCAATTGTGTCCGAGCTCTCCACCTCAAGTGTAATCGTCTTCCCGGTCAAAGTCTTCACAAAAATCTGCATCCCACCACGAAGTCGCAGGACAAGATGGAGGGTCGATTCTTTCTGAATATTATAATCAGCTAGAGTCCTCCCATCTTCAAGCTGTTTCCCTGCAAAGATCAACCTTTGCTGGTCGGGCGGTATGCCTTCCTTGTCTTGGATCTTGGCCTTGACGTTATCAATCGTGTCCGAGCTCTCCACCTCCAGTGTAATTGTCTTCCCAGTCAAAGTCTTCACAAAAATCTGCATCCCACCACGAAGCCGCAGGACAAGATGGAGGGTCGATTCTTTCTGGATATTATAATCTGCTAGAGTCCTCCCATCTTCCAGCTGTTTCCCAGCGAAGATCAATCTTTGCTGGTCGGGCGGGATTCCTTCCTTGTCTTGAATCTTGGCCTTGACATTATCGATTGTGTCCGAGCTCTCGACTTCAAGGGTGATGGTCTTGCCAGTTAGGGTTTTGACGAAGATCTGCATGCCACCACGTAAACGGAGGACAAGGTGGAGGGTCGACTCTTTTTGAATATTGTAGTCAGCAAGAGTCCTTCCATCTTCGAGCTGCTTACCAGCGAAAATCAACCTTTGCTGGTCGGGTGGGATGCCTTCCTTGTCTTGGATCTTGGCCTTGACATTGTCAATTGTGTCCGAGGCCTCGACTTCAAGAGTGATGGTCTTGCCCGTTAGGGTTTTGACGAAAATCTGCATCCCACCACGTAGACGGAGGACGAGGTGGAGAGTGGACTCCTTCTGAATGTTGTAGTCGGCAAGGGTTCGGCCATCCTCAAGCTGCTTACCAGCAAAGATGAGACGCTGCTGGTCGGGAGGAATACCTTCTTTGTCTTGGATCTTAGCCTTGACGTTATCTATGGTGTCCGAGCTTTCGACCTCAAGGGTTATGGTCTTGCCAGTGAGAGTTTTCACAAAGATCTGCATCTGGAGTTCAGAAACGAAATGGGATTAGCAAACCAAACCCAAAATTCGATCTTTTTATCTCACACACATAAGAGAAGTATAACAGGGTGAATAAGATACAGATGCTTTCGCGTCCTATCTACTCAAAGATATCATCGGTGAACAAAAAAAACAATTACAAACTCTAGTCTGCAATCACCCGCTGATGACCCTCCAAAAGAACAAACTTGTGACCATCAACTAGCCATTGATTTACAAATGAGCAAATTCAACAATCTTTTCTAGGATCCCAATATTCAAATCAACCGCAAATTGATTCATAAATCCACAAATCAACCACAAATCTAGATAATCAAAATAAACCGCAAATTGATACATAAATTCACAAAACCGATAGCACAAAACCCAGATTTGAAACCGATAACACAAAACCTAGATCTGAAACGAGAAACAGCTTCAAACTACCTCAACTTGACCAAATCGTATACACCAACATAATCCAAAACACAGAAGGATTCAATAAATTGAAATCGAAAGTGAAGGAAGAGAGATCATACCCTTACGGCGGCGCAAGAAGAAACGCGAATGCTAAGAATAGTATAGAATTATTTGCAGGAGTGTTTGAATTAACAGATCTTAAGATGCGTAGGTATGAATTAAACCTTGAGGATGGTTTGGTTTATATAGAGATGGAAGACCGACTTTATGATGAATTCTTTTCCTAAAAAGGATAGCGCAAGAGTGTGAGATTCGGCAAAGAGAATTCTCCCAAAGCTTCTGGATCCTTCTTTAGGTTTTGCTTTATTTCAGGCATGGAATTTCTGATAATTAAAATTTTGACTTTATATTAGTATTGACTTTTATTTTCTATTTGATACTATTTGAACTTTATTTATTTATTTATAATTCTTATAAAATGTATTTGGATAATCTCTGTTTTACATAATTTTCAAATACAGTGAGTCTCAGTGACACTCTATATTCGGTAAAATTTGTTTGGCATAAATTTATGATTCTTATTGACACATGTCCATGTTTGATTTTGACTATTGATTGAGAATTACCAAAACTATTTTATATATATATTTTTTTCCTGTTAAATTACCATATATTATTTTTATCAATCTTATTTAATTCATATATTAACTATTATAAATATGAATTCTTTTATTTGTAAGAATTTATAACCTTTTTATTTGTATTATTTTTATTTATGAATGTCAATATAATCATATTGCAATGTTTTTCAATTTGATTTATACTGCATATATAAAATAAAAATTAATTTCATCTATCTTTATAAATAATACTAATTTCGTTGTCAAATTATTTTAAAACAATATCAAGTAACAATATAAAAAATTTTGCAAAAATAATAATAATCTAATTCATTGATACACCATAGAATAATCATTTTATATATGTATAGAAGTGAGATTGTAACGCCCCAAGTTTTATTAATAAAGGAAAATACTAGTTTTTAATGTTAAGCTAGCCTTTGTTAATAAATAACCATGTTCATATTCTAGTTCAAGTGATTCAGCCAGTTATTGAGTTCCAGTTTTAAGTTCAACTTCTAGTCGACTTTATATTCGGTTTAATTATCTCAGTAACTAAATGGGTTTTAGATTTAATTCCAATTCGTTTACATAATAAACGAGTTTGGGATTAACGAGATTAAGTCAAGATAATATTCGAATTAAGTTCCGAGGTCAAGTTGTAACCGAAAATGAGTACGTTCAGTTAAGGTTACCATATATGAACGTCGTCATTCCTATACAGCAGTGCGTTCACATTGGTACACCGTCCATCATTAATGGTCATTAAACCTTACTTAATTAACTTAATCCATGTTTAGCTAATTAATCATGATTAAGCTCAAGATAATCATGATCAGCTTAATGTTAATGGTAATTAATTAACATTAATGAGGATTAATTTAAGGTTAATCATGTTTAGGAGTAATCATGTTTAGCTTAGTATCAAACATGCTTAACATACCCTAAGCATGCTTTAGTACGTCTAAGCCACGTTTAGTACATCAAGTGGTCGTGGGAATTGTGGATCACCATTCTTCACGAGCATAGTCATCCATTCATGACACATGGAAGCTCATGGTGCCTTAGGACCATGACTAAGCAAGACGTGAGGTGAGTAAGCACCCCAAACGCCACCCTTATGTCCTTAGCACACGGCACATGGCATACGGCCATTGGCCGAGCTTTATTCCAATTTTTCTTCAAGTTCAGTCGTGTTATAAATCAGTAGTTGGGAGTGAATTAACAGCTTATTATTTAAGCTATAAGTTCAGCATGATTAACTCATAAACACACGTACAAAGAGCAAATCTCCTACGCACACAAGCATGGGTCGAGTAATCACGATCGATCTTGTGAAATTCTTCAAGAGCTTGAAGAGGTAATCTCTTTTTCATCAACCCTTCATGTTATTAAGGTCAGTTTAAGAATATCAGGTTCAGCCATGTACCAGAATTCATGATAAATGCTTTAAGTATACTCGGTTTTGTACTCATAGGTCATGACCGAGTGATGTTTAGTTTTATTCGAATAACGTCGAGCAATTCATGTTTATTTGAGCATGTTGGGTCAGTATATGTTCAGCTTTTTAAGATAGGTCGAGACAAGTTGTGATTTTGTCCATGTTTTGGCCTAAGAAAGTCGGCAGCACACGTAGTG